GCACAATGGCGCTCTTCCGCGCCCCGCACCTTCGCACGCCGGCCGGCCGGGGAGGGGGCCTCTGGCGTCCGAGCGTGGGTGACTCGCCAACGGCGGCGGGGTTTGTGAAGTTGAGCCCTCGGCCCCCCTTTTCTTTCGGGGCCTCTCGGTCCACTTGAGTCTCCTGGGGAGTCAAATAATTGTTCTCTTGTTTTCCAGTGTTGATTAGGGGTGGGGGTTGAACCGGTCCATTTAGTTTTCTAGCTCCTTCTCTCCCTTCTCCTCCCCCTCTCGAAAGCATTTATTTTCCTCGGGGCCCGGGTGCTTTCAGAACCCTGGGTTCGGGCTTCCCCTGCGCAGACTTTCCTGGAAGTTGTTTATGGACTTCTTTCGCCCTAGCGCTTCCTCCTGCCTCGGAACTTGGGCAGAGTTGCTCTTATCAAACTGAGTAGGTTCGCGTGTTGGCCTCCGAATTGTAGTCTGTTATTTACAGTCTGCTGAAATGCTTTTAAATTAGCCACATCTGTACGTTGCGCAGGAACTGAGTTGCGCTTTATTCTACCGAGGTTTTAGTTCAAGCCTTTGATAATACACTGCAGGTTGACTCATAGGCCTCGTCCTGCCTAGTTCAACTGTGATTAAAAGTTTGTGTTTGGGAAGCGATGACTAATTCTAGGATCTCCATTGCTCTTTAATTCCTGTTGAGGATATGAACATGGCTGCTTTTCCACATACAGAACGTTCGACTATTTTAGCCAACTTGATTTTACATTGAAATGAAACTTTATGAAAGTCTTAACATTCTGGTAGGTCCTAATAGATTTTAGAGTAGGGTCTCCACCCCCCGCCCCTTGTTTTTGTTAGACCTTACTTCGAGCTAAACCCACATAGGAACTTTGCCCGAAAGTTAATTGGTTTTCCAAATACTGCAATGTAGTTAGCCCACTCGGGCTGTAACTTGAGTGGAAAGAAGAGTTACTGCCCCCACTTCCATTCCCCCTCCTGTTTGCAGGCCTGTTGTATTTTCTTCTGTTACAGAGCAAGGGGGTTGGAACTCAAAAAAGCTCACTTAACCCGATGACAAAAACTTGGGTTAAGGGGAGGAAAAACTATTTAGCTGCTTGCTTAACCACTTCAATTTGTTAGACTTAGGTATCCCTTTTCTCTTACCCCTAGAAGTGGGTTTCTGAACTTATTATGGCTAAATGTATATTGGCGTGCATCCTGCAGACTACACAATGATGCTACTAGTTACTTAATATGCTTTGAAAGTATGCACATTCAGGATTGAACTTCCTGTCCTGTACTATCTGTAAGCCAAAATAATTGCTGTTGAAAAGTGTACTGTTTCTTCTAGTATGTGGATACACGAGAATTTATATCCAACAGTTTAAAAATATGTGGTTTTGTTTGGCTAAGTGTTGTTCATCCGAAAAAAAAATTTTTTGGGCTTTGTTTTTTTGAGACTGTCTTGCTCTGTGTAGTTCAGGCTGGCCTTGAACTTTCTGGAGATCCTCCTGCCTCAGTCTCCCAAGTGCTAAGATTACAGGCATCCACCATTACCTCTGACAATGAGCATCTGAAAATTTGACTTTTATTTTTGCTAACCCTAATTCAAATTTAATCCCAACTAAAAAATGTACCTGAATTTGCTTTAAGGTATAAAGGATTGCTGATTCCTTTTATTGCCAATGTGATTATAGGAAATTCTGTTTTTAATAGCCAAACCTTCATTCTCTTTTTTTTGGGGGGGGGTACTGGGGCTTGAACTCCGGACCTTGTGCTTGCAAGGCAGGCGGCAGCACTGCTGAGCTAAATTATGAGCCCACCAAACCATAATTCTAATAAAGGAATTTTAAAGAGCTAATATTAATAGTACGAATCTGGATTGTAAGTAGTACTGTCCACAGACTGTCGGCTGTTAATTCTTAATTCTCCCCTTTTTTAAAAAATCATGACCTATCTTAACAAAAGAGAAAACTGCTTCAGAGTTTATGATATTTGTTAAGTGTCACACTTAGCCCCCTTGGATGGGAAGTTTCTGACATAGATTTTTTTTCCTGCTATTATGAAGTTGAAATATATATGTCAGTTCTTAAAATCATATTGTAATTGAACTTACATCTTTTTTTTTATTCCATTCTTTAGATGGCTTTAAGAATAACAGTTGAGTCTTCTGAATTCACTAGAAGTTGTATAAATTGTAGTGATATTTATTGATGGCATTTGTTCATAGTGGAAAAATGACTAGGGCTTGGTCTTAAACTATTCAAAACCTAGTGAAAAAATAGATACTAATTCTTTGGGTTATGTTTATACCTGAAACTTTTTGTTTTGTTTTGATTTTTTGAGTCAGGGTCTCACTGTGTATAGTTCAGGCTGGTCTTGAAAGCACTATGGAGCTAGCCCAGCCTGGCTCAGCCCTCCTGCCTCAGCCTCCCAAGTGCTGGAAGTACAGGTGTGCATCACCATGCCGGGCACCCGAAACATTTTTTAGAACTTGGATAAACACCTATAATACCTTGATCTCTTACTTATTTTCGTGCTGGGCATTGAATTCATGACCTCTTGTGTTTAAGCAGGTGCTTTACCATTGAGCTACACCTCAAGCTCCTGCCTTCACCTTTTAAATTTTAGTTTTCATTTTTTTGAGACAGGGCCTGGCTGTGCATCCCAGGCTGGCCTTAATTTCAAAGCAATCCTGCCTCAGCCTCAGGAGTGCTGGGATTATAGGTGTGCACCACCATGTCCAGCTACCAGTTTATTTTTTATGTTTTCCTCTTTTGTTGTTTTGGCACAGGGTCTCACTCACTGTATTGCTCAGATGGGTTTTGAACAATGTAGCATAGGTAGGCCTTTGCCTCCGTGTCCCAAGTGGTAGGATTACAGGCATGTGTCATCACACTTGCCTCTAGAAATTAGATTTTAAAATTTGCTGTTTATTATTAGGAAACTTTGTTTCCTCCTATACCACTGGTCTGCAAAAAGTGGAAGACATAACTAGTTTGTAATAGATAGAAATTCATTTAAATAGATGTTCAATAAAGTTATCAGTGTTTATAGTACGTCCTAAAATTACAATAAATTAAAGTTTTTAAGACATAGTCTTACTATGTTGCTCCAGTGGCCTTTAACTCTGGGCTCAAGTGATCCTCTCACCTCATCCTCCCCAGTAACTGGAAATGTATAGGCATTGTACCATCGCAGCCACCCCCATCACCATTGATTGCCCCACTATTTCCTGCTCCTTACTCCCTTTAAAATTCCATAACTTGAAAGTACCTGTTCAGCCAGGTGCAGTAGTACACATCTATAATCCCAGCCCAACGGGAGGCTGAGGCAGGAGGATCAAAAGTTCAAGCCCAGTTCAGATAATTAAGCAAGTTCTTATCTTAAATATAAATGAATGAATGAATGAATGAGTGAATGAATGAATAAAAAGGTCTGGGGATGATGTTCACTGGGAAGGCTTTGGATTCAGTCTCCATTATTAGGGACCAGGGGATATCCGTTTGAAAACTTGGTGTTCCTTGGTGTCAGATATTAAATGTTGAAATTTGCCAGTAGTACTTAGGTATTTGGTTGCAATGAAGTTGTATTAAGGAAGTTTGAAGGTACTCTCTCCAAAAGGGATTTTTTTGTTGTTGTTTTCTAAATTTCCATTTTTAATCCTACTAGGCCAGTACTGATGCAGGCACTGCAGGAGCCCTGACTCCACAACATGTTCGAGCTCATTCCTCTCCAGCATCCTTGCAGCTGGGAGCCGTTTCTCCTGGGACACTGACCCCCACTGGAGTAGTCTCTGGCCCAGCAGCTACGCCCACTGCCCAACACCTTCGCCAGTCTTCTTTTGAGATACCTGATGACGTACCTCTGCCAGCAGGCTGGGAGATGGCCAAGACATCTTCTGGTCAGAGATACTTCTTAAAGTAAGTGAAAATAATTGTGTGAGGTAGTTATCCAAGAACATGTATTGAAAAGCACTGAAGTGGTAATATGTAGAGTACTGTTTGTTTTCATATTGTACTTAGTATTTTTCTCAAATTCAAATACCTTGCATAATTTTTTTTTTCAGTTTGCTATCAATCCCAAATACCTTTATTAGTGCGGGTTATATTTTGAAAGCTTGATCTCATTTGGAAAGTTGTCTCATTTGGAATTTGTGCCAAATCTGCTCAAAAGCTAGCACAACACAAAGAACACTATGAGAATTTTCAAATTCTAAGACTCCTAGAACTGGCATAGTCATATGAAATATGTATGGTGCTACTTAGGTCTTTTCCTATTTTTGGAGCTAGGTATTGAACCCAGGGACTTGTGTACTAAGCATCCTACTGCTGAGCTGTGTCTCCAACCCCTGTTTATCTTTTAAGATAATGTTTTTTTGATAGAGAAGAATTACTGAATAAATAGGACTTGGTAGAATCTAATGTTACAGTATTTTAAATTGGGAGGTGATAAGCACATAAGCTGCAGTTTGATGTAATTTATCAATTTTTCCCCCAAATGTGAAGAAGAATATAAATTTTTAGGTTTGATACATGATCACTCAATGGTGGTGAATATCTTTCACACTATCAGGTCTTCAAAACAGCATTCTCTGGAAAAACAAGGCCATTGGGTTTTTTTTAATTTGCTTTTTTTGTCTTTAACAAATGAAAAAGTTACAGTAAGCTGAAAAGACCTAAATACAAATTTATCCCCTCTAATTTTGAAATTATAGGTAAGCCTTTAATTTTATGTGGCTTGTTTGGATCGAGTGTATACAATATACTCTAAAATTAGTTGTTACAGACTGAAATAAAATTCTTTTAAAATACTTAATCAGGTTGAGATAATAAAGTGAAAACCTGTTTTGATTCAGATTTGTTAGCAGTCTACTCAAGAGAAATGTTAACATTTATTAGATCAGATAATACAATTAATGACATCTTGTGTGACTCTTCATGTGTGTTTCATGAAAACTGTTTTGGGGTGGGTTTCTACTTTGTGACAAGCCTATTTCCAAGAGCAGAGGAAAAGGTTTTTTACCTCTTCCTTTGGTTTTTTCCTCTTTTTAAAATTTGTTTTCTGGTGCTCTGATATCCATTTCAAAGGGTCAGGTTTCACCCAGAATAATAAAGGACCCAGAGACGGGAAAGTACACACAAGTCTGGCAAACTCATCTGCATGAGCAAGATCATTTGTTCTCCAGCAGACATCCAAAGTAAATGATTGAAAGAGCTGCTAGCTGTGAGGGATGTGTCTTGAAGGGAAAAGGAGTGGAAACAGACCAGGTTGTTAGGAAGAAAAAGAAAGGCTGTACTTTCTTGAACCTCTCCCTGCTGGGTCACATGCTGACCAGGGAAGATTTTTTTAAACAGCTTAATAGCCTGCCTGTCTTCTTTCTTTGGTTGATGCCATGGAAAAAAGTCAGAGTAACATTCAGGTTCTTCTTGGTCTCTTGTATCTTGTAGGTGGCAAAGGCCTAAGTTGAGTGATCTTTTTTTAAGTTGAAGTAAACATTCTGGATTTGCTTTTAAAAGTTGCCAGTGCTTCTTTGAGAAGAAATGTTTTTCTTAAATGTATGAATTTATGAAGGGGCATATACTTTTCCTCACTCAGCTCACTCACCCCACTCACCCCACTCTAAGGGGCCCGTAATGATAGTGGGCTAAAGTAAGAATTATGCCATAAGAGGAATGCTATAGGAGTAGGGGGAGCTTTACCTGGAAAGATAGCCCTGGCAAGAAGAGAGTAATAAAGACAGGATTGCCCTTTCAGCATTTTGGAGGTGCTTTCATCTGGAAGTGAAATTAGGCTTATTATGGGATAATATACATTAAAGGTTTTGATCTGTAGAACCTTTTCTTTTTCAATGCTTTTCAGAAGAAAGCTTTTCTTTAAGAGGTAAATCTTGATCAGTAAAAGCAGGTAAGGTAGATTCATGGATACTATTAGATTCATATATACAGAGAGCCTCTGTGAAAGATGGGTGCTGACGGCTCATAAAATTTCATATTCTTACAAAGAGTATCTGCTTTATGAATCATGTGCAATTTGGAGCTGGGTGTGTGTGCTGAGGCAGAAGGATTGTCACAAGTTTGAGGCCAGCCTGAGCTAAACAGCGAGACCCTCCCTGCCTCACAAAGAAAAAATGTAATTTGCTATTGTGGTATATATTTATTTTTAAAAATTAATTTTATTGGTACATTGGAAAAAATAATTTGGAAAAAGGTTGTGCAGTAAGATTCGGCTTCTCCAGTAGTTAGCTACTTCCATGATACAGGCTGTAGAGTTTATATAAACAATTTAGTTATTTTGTGTACTCAAGAGATAAATTAATTATCTGTCTTGACTGTGAGTCAGAGATGGTAAAGCAAGCTTTTAGTGCTATGTTGTTACTGCCAGAATACGTTTTTGACTTGTTCTGATGTTTTAAAGTCCATTCTCTCACTACAACCAATATTTATATAGTTTCTCTTATCTATAAAAATTCTTGCCAGCTAGATATAGAATGAAAATTTAAAGTAATTGTATACTTTATACTCATTTCAACAGTGAAAATTTTCTCATTATACATCTTTTTAGATACTTGTTGAAAATTAATTTACAAAGTAGTATATCATTTATTGAGATGAATACTTGACATAAAGAACTCTGACTATATAAAAGGTTTAAACATGCAAAATAAAGTAATTTTAGAGAAAACAGAAATATTGACTTGAGAACAACAAATATTGCCTTGTTACTGTAGATGGAATTTTTGAAATCAGTTGGTCTGTCTTCCAGCTTGAAGGCAGAATAATCACTGAAGGGTTTAGCATCATTGGTTTTGTTTCTTTCGTTTTGGTACTGGAAATTGAACCCCGAGGGTCTTTGTACTGAGCTACATCCCCAGCCCTGTTTTTATTTATTTGGAGACAGTCTTGCTAAATTTCCCAGACTGGACTTGAATTTAGGTTCCTCCTGCCTTATCCTCCCAGAGGGCTGGGATCACAGTGTGCAGCACCATACCCAGCTCATAATTTCCCTCCCTCCCTACCTCCCTTCCTGAGTCTGGTTCTAACTATGTAGTCCAGGCTGGCTTTTAACTCTATGTAGCCCATGCTGACCTCTAACTTGAAATCCTCCTGCCTCAGCCTCCCACGTGCTGAGATTATAGGTGGAATTTTCATCATTAATATTTTTAAAGCTCTCCATACATTAGTGAGTTCTTTTGGAGAAGACTTGTACCTTATCTTGGCAAGTAATATGGTTGAAGTATTGAATAAATGTATTTATCAGTAGTACATATTCAAGCTCTGGGAAGATTGTAATGTATATAAAAATGGTAGTCTCTGTATACTACATATAATATCTTTGTTACTGAACTTACTGTTTTTTGGTTCTGTTTCGAGATAGGATCTTGCTGTATAGTTCAGGCTGGTCTTGAACTCATTAGCCTAAGCTGGCCTCAAACTCGTGGCAATAGTCTTGCCTTAGCCTCCTGCATGCTCGGATTATAGGCATGAGCTGCTATATCTGGCTGAATTTACTGTTTGAAACTAATTTCTTCAACATAGTACTTGAAGTTTTTGTTTAAAAATAATTCATTTTCTTTATAACTCACGTTTCTTCCTTCCTCAGTTGCCTTACAGTTTTCCTACAGGAAGTAGTTCTTCAAGTAGTTGGTCAGCAACTTCCTATTTCTTTATAAGCTGCTGAATAACTTCCTGAATTAGCATTCTATAATATATTTGGTTACAAGACGTGTTACTACTTCTTAGATTTATTTTATTGAATCTGGTACCTTGTAACTGTTACCATGTACAAAGCACTTCTGGTATATACTGTACCATAGAGGACATTATACTTTGCTTTGAAGAATGTGATCCATTTATTTAACAAGTTGGTAGATTTACATTATTTTAAGGGTTCTAACAACTTTTAAAAGATAGTTTTGTTGCATTTCCAGTATCATTTTCTGAATAACTGGCCTTAGTGTTTTTAGTCCTTGAAGACTCAAGGTTTCTCACGGCTGTGATTTGTTCAGGTTTGTTCAGTGTCTTGATTCATAGTTTAAAAAATATTTTTTCAGAGTTTTTTTGGCATACAGCTCAGTCATATGCCAACACTAAATGAAATTGTATTCTACTACAGGTTATTTTAGAAATCAATGCTCCATGGCCTTAAGTACAGCAGTATCTATTAAAGGAAATGGATTAAACTTTGCTAGAAGTTGATCTTTTGTTTTCTTCTTAAACATCCAGTGTAAGACCATAAATACATACAATGCCCTACTACCATTATAAAAATACACATTTTTAAAGGAACAGTTTCGTTAAGAATAAGACTGTTGGGTTTTTTCCCCCTTTTTTGTTATACATAGTGTAACCCTAATGATTTCCCTTTGAAAAATGAAAAGCTTGTGATTTTGCTATTAAATGTTGGTTAACCTTTAAATACAACACAAAAGATTTCAAATTGCAGTCTCACAGACTATTTCCCTATTTGAGGGAAGGGCCAGTCTCTGCATGTTTGTCTTGCTGTTAAGACTGTTGCTGTTGAGACTGTAGAAAGAGAAGATAAAAGTGTGCCCTCGGCTCTGAAAAAATGACTTGCTCTGTTCAGTGGGTGGATATTCCAGGGAAGAGTGACCTGCAGTGCTGCAGTGATTTAGGTGGAAAAACTGGAGGAACAGTATTTACCAGCAGCAGAAAAAAAAAGAGTTAGAAGATAGTACCTGCGACAGGGTAAATAGAACATAAAGATTGACTTATTCTCTGGGGAAAATAATGAGTCCCTATTTCTGATGTGAACTAAAAAAGATATTTAATTAAGAATGTAGACATTTCATCTCATAAACTGTTGGTACTAGTTTTTTTTTTTTAAACATAGCATTCAAAAAATACCCTTCCCTGAAGCCTCACTTAAAACACAGAACCTCAGAATAAAAACCTCTAGATAA